AGGGAAAGAAAAAGCATTCATCTCTAGCACCCTGTGAACATTCTGGTGCACCTCCATCCTTCTAGTCTTTTCCCCAAACCTAGAAGATGTCATTCTTGACACCCTCTGGAATAGGACACTCTTGTTTGCTAACTCTTGAGGTTTTGGCAATATTTCTTCTCCCACGATAGGTGAGTGGTTGAGTTCTCTTCTGTTACTTAAACTTCATGAGTCATGCCCAGACACACCAGCGTGGCTGGATTCATCACCACTACAAAAGGCAACTGGCAATAAAAATAGCATTTAGTGTTGGCATTCTATATTTACTTTTCTTATCATTTAGCAGAATCCATCTAATCCACTTAATAGACAAATATTTGTTGAACACATAGTAAATGCAAGGCATTGTGCTATGGGGTAACAGGTGTCTTGTCCTTATTAACAAGCTTAAAAATATTAAGAGTGAGAATTACTATATAGCAGGATAAGAAATATTAAGAACAACAAAATAAACCATAGGTTTTCTTTTAATCAAATAAAATTGTGTTTGCAGGAAGAACCCTCTTGTCTTTACTGATCGTCACGGTGACAGGGAGGCCTGAGCCCCGTGAGGAGGAGTGACCAGCAGAGCGGTCCCGAGGGGAGGCAGGAGTCTCCTTTCCCGGGTGGTTGCTCCCAGTGTGCTGCTCTCTCATAGCAATGCTGATTCTACTGTCTTAACATTCAGCGAATATTCTTCCTGCAACAGCCAAAACCAAGCAAACTAGTTCATTCTGTGCTCAACCCACAGCCCCCGGGTAACCTGGCCACTGCTGGAGGAGATGTCAGGGGTGCTGGACTCTGGAGAGACGTGTATTGAGCTCCAATGTCTGAGGGATTTTTTAAGGGTAATTTTAACAACAGTGGTTTGTGCCTCTCCACTGACTTAAAAATCTGAAGCTTTCAAAAGACATCTTGTGCCCCTGCCCCTCTTCCTGTGCACCTGCACCTGCAGCAGGACCAGGGCCCGCGGGCCACCGTTGCCAGTGAATGAGATGCGAGCCATGTTCAGCAGTCAGGCTGTGGTTCGGCTTCAGGTGGCCTTGTCTGTGTGGCAGACAAGATGACACAAGAAGCTCATTACTGATGCCACCAGTCAGGTTTCAGAAATGCAAAAATGATTGTGTCACCTCCTTGCTTATAATCCTTCAAAGGCTCTTAATTCTATACTTTAAAATCCAAATGATTTAGTGTACATGGCGTGGCCCACAACCCAGCCTCATTTTCTATGGGTTTCCTAGCTCTTCCCACTTGCTGCCAGCTGTTCAAACAGTCTCCTGCCTACCACCTTTCTGGAACAACCTTTTCTTTCTGGACAGCTTTGACTGTCTCCCTCTCCTGAAATAGTTACTCCTTCCTTGGCACCATCTCTATTGGAATGTTTAATATACCACCTTCTTATTTGGGTTGTCTTGTGTGAAAACAAGCCTTTGCATCCCTAGCTCTAGCATGGTCACCAGCAGAGCAGGAACCTGAAACATGTCAGGCTGGAATGGCTGAACCAGCCTGGGGATCCCTTCTCTGATATCAGCCCCGGACTAGTACGAAGGCCAAGGCCAGGGAGTTTGTGCAAAACCTGTCAAGGTCCGCATAGCCCAGACAGTTTGGCTGTGACCACAAAATTAATCTTGAGCATAAACACATAAAACCAAGGAGAGAAAGAAAGGTCATCTTTTCTATGCAGTGCTTACCATGCATCTCCTAGAATGCAGATTCAGTCAATGGCTTCAATACTGAGCTAATATGACTTACTTTTTGCAACAGATTTATTTTCCAGTAATGTCCACAAAAATATTTCCAGTCCTACCAGCTCTTTCTGAACCTTGCTACTCCCCCATCAAGAGATGGAACCTATGTCGCTGCCCCTTCAACTGGGTGGGCCTTGGTGACTGGCTTGTCTGTCTGTGACTTCCGAGGCTAGGCCATGGAAGGTGGAACAGCTACTGCCTCACCTGCTTGGAAATGCAGCCACCAGGCTGTGAAGGGGGACAAGCCACGTGGAGAGGAGCTGAGGCCTCCGTCCTGGCTCTGCCAAGCCCAATGTGACCGCCAGCCACGTGAGCGAGCCATCTCAGAAGTGATCCTCCAGCCCTCCCTCCACTGAGCTGACACCACTGGGAGCAGAGACAAGTTGTACCCAGAGAGTCTCACTCCAACTGCAGATTCATGAACAAAATATGCAGAAGTGACTTGTCTTAAGTGACTAAGTTTTGGGATGGATTATCATGGGACATTTATCAACCCTTGCCCTGGACTGAGGGGTTTCTCAGGATGTGGGACTTTCAGTGCTAAAATCCTGACAGTCCTGGTTGACCTCTCGAGTTCTGTTCATTGTATACATGTATGTGATTAATGATCCTGAGACAGAGATAATGTAGTCTTCCACACGCTGAACAGTGTGGTGGTAATATTTGTCTTCTGGCTGAATTTCACTCCACCCCCACTCTGGGAGCAACAGGGTCTGGTTTAAGCAGCTGATCCCTGAACTGAGATGTGGAGAGGGGAGTTCTCCCCAAATCCATGTCTGGGGCTGCCTTCGTGTTTCCCAGCTCTTCCACCAAGCAGCCTCTTGCCTCAGGGCTGTTGCACCAGGGGTTTCTCTGCCTGGGACACTCACACCTCAGCTCTTTTCATTTCTTTGAATTTTCTTATTTATTTACTTGTGTTAAAATGAAACAAGTTTGGCCTAAAGCTGCCTCCATGCATATTTTGGGTTTGGTGTAAAGATTTCTTTGCAGATAGTGAAATGCAGCCCAACTTGATGTGTAAACAGACTGTAGCCTAACCTGGAAGTATGCTCTTGTCACAAGTAGCCGAGCCTGCAGCCAATCAGAGGCTGAATGGTGCCAAAACATGACCATATAAGGCGAATGCCAACCATAGCCAATTAGGCTGCTTCTGTATGTCACCTCCTTTTTTCTGGGTATAAATATGACCTGCAGTGTGGTGGCGTGGAGCATTCTGAACCATTTTTGGTCCAAACTGCTGCCCCATTCTAGAATCACAATTAAAGCCAATTCAGATCCATGAAACTAGATTTATTGTAATTTTGTCTTTTAACACTCATTACGGTGGTCTTTTTCTATTTGAATGAGAGCCCATAGAAGCAGGGATAGGGCCTGCATCCATACTATTTTTGGTTGTACCTTCAGCAGTTACCGCTGATCAGCAGGAGATGCTCAAAGAAATTTTTTTCAAATGCTGAAATAATAAATGATTTGGGAGGGTTCTTCAAGGTTTTCCGGGTACAATTCTGACCACAGCGGAAACTTCCTCCATGATCACCATGGCAGGTGATAATTACCCTTGGCTTAAACACCTTCGGGATGGAGCGCTCACTACCTCACAGAGCAGCCTATTCCACTACAGTTTTAAAACATTTCAGTGCAATATTAAGAATTGTCTTTCTATAATTTTGAATGATTTCTTTGCAGATCATCACCCTGACTGCCTCCTGGAAGGTACAGCAGCTCATCAATATCCCTCCTGGCAATGAGGCTCCATATCTTTACTATACTGGAATAACTTTTATTTCAGTACACTGAGGACATGGATATATCCTAAGGGATTCTGAAAATTTGTAAAAATTAAGGAATAAATCATCTGCGGCAAACTTTTTTTTTAAGCCTAAGATGATGGGAAAAGCTGAAGTACCCCCCAACGCGACTCTTATGCTTACTTTGGATACTTCAGGATCTGGGCTCTGTCTCTCTGATCTCCTGTTTAGCAACATCATAAAAGATCGTCTCTGATCCTGGACTACAGTCAACTGTCACAACATGATGGGCAGTCATTCTGTTTCATCAGGTTAGAATCTTCTAGGGCAGTGGCTCCACTTTAGGGACCTACATTTCCTGTCAGCCCATCATATCCTGCCTTCTTGGTTTGGGTACAGGACTCCCAGGACCCCTGCAGAGAGGAGGTGGCCCGTGCTGGAGATGGAGAAGCCCTGGGAATCTGCAGAGTGTAGCTTCTTGTCCTGCTCTACCAGGCCCTGTATTCTCAGTGGGGTCATGCTCTGCAGAAGTATGCTCTCAAGGTGTGGCCTAAACCAAAAAAACAAATAAGACGAGGCCCCAAAGGTCAGCTCCACTGTGGCTATTGTTTTCGTACCAGAGAATTTTGTCTTGTGACTGGCAGGAGTCTTGATGTCTGGTGTTGCTTTGCCTATACAGTTGAAATGACAAGGAGGACAGCTCAGCTCTGGATAAAAACACCTCCCTGGACACTAATACTTCATGCTTTACTTTAAGTCCTTAATGAGGATGGAGAAAATCGTTGAGTGAAAGCTGGAGCTTCCCAGGATATTCCCTTCCTCAGTACCTCTGGCCATCAGTCTCGGTCCCCCTTTTTTTAATTAATCCAGTGAACCAGCCTCTACCTTTCAAAGGAATCTGTGGGAAACCTTTCCGCCAAGTCCCAGCTGAGTCCCTGTGACACTGAAGAACATGGGCCAGGCTCTTGTGTAGGTTAAGGAAGTCCGAGAAGAATAAAGATTATAGGGAAACAGTCTACCTTTCTTTACAAGGCCTTGTTTCGCATCCCTGAAATCTCAGATTCAGCTATTACAATGAAGTCCTGTTGTAGAAAGAGCTGGCCTTTTATCACCACTTAAAATCTAATTAATCCATAGTGAAGCACAAAGATTTCTGTTGTATTTTAGGGTGAGGGGTCATAGAGCCCTCTTTGTTCATCCTTAGACTTATAATCATCAGGCATTGGGGATATAATTTTACCAAGCAAATTGGAAAGTAACAGATCAAATCCTTATCAGAAAGCCTAACTCATAGTTTTAACAGAGTCCTTCGTCCTTTACATGAAACATTATATTCAAGAAGAACAAAAACGCATTTCAGAGTACCCAAAGAGTTAATGACTAAAGCTTATATTCCAGGCAGCATAGAACCAAGATTGTCACACTACTGTCAACCACACAAGACAGCAGATTCTATAGGGGTGGCAAAGTCATAAGATTTGTTGCAATGGCTTTAGTCTTTAGAATAGCAATGCAGTTTGTTGGACTTTTATTGTCTTTGCTGGGATGGGTTTTATCCATTATTACAACTTATTTGCCCCATTGGAAGAACCTCAACCTGGACTTAAATGAAATGGAAAACTGGACCATGGGACTCTGGCAAACCTGTGTCACCCAAGAGGAAGTTGGGGTGCAATGCAAGGACTTCGATTCTTTCCTGGCTTTGCCTGTGGAACTCAGGGTCTCCAGGATTTTAATGTTTCTGTCAAATGGACTGGGATTTCCGGGCCTGCTGGTCTCTGGGTTTGGCCTGGACTGTCTGAGAATTGGAGAGAGACAGCAAGATCTCAAGAAGCGACTGTTAATTCTGGGAGGAATTCTGTTCTGGATATCAGGAATCACAACCCTCATTCCGGTCTCCTGGGTCGCTCACATGACAGTTCAGGAATTCTGGGATGAGACCATCCCCGAGATTGTCCCCAGGTGGGAGTTTGGGGAAGCTCTCTTTATTGGCTGGTTTGCTGGATTTTCTCTTCTACTAGGAGGGTGTCTGCTTAACTGTGCAGCCTGCTCAACCCAAGCTCCTCTAGCTTCAGGCCACTACGCAGTGGCAGAAATGCATGATCACCATCAACAACTAGAGATGAAAAACACAAACCTGAAGATCTAAGCCAGAAGGGAACAATGGTATCTGCAGTGGCAGAAATGCAAACCCAGTGTCCATACCTGGAAAATGGAACTGCAGATCCTAAAGTATAAGATTTTGACAAGGCTAGAGAGATGTATCCTACACCAACTATGATGACAAAGAGGTCTTTGTTACGTAATTAAATCTGTGCTGCTCACAATTTCTCATTCAATAACTATTTTTGTGTACTAGACGCCCCTCCCCAGCAAATCTGAAAAAGTAAGAATGAGGGGAAATCTTGTATGTAAAAGAAAATTATTATGATAAGCATTATATAGGTATGAGAGAAAAAATTACTGATCTGGTTATTTAAATTAAGTGGTGGTGGTTGTCTAATATAGGCAGTCTTAAGCTTTAATGTGTTTCATATTACAAAGTTCTTTTGGTTTTTACTGGTAGCTGGAAATGATAATTAGTTTCCATTTTTTACAGAAAAAAATTAACAACCTGAAATCTTTTAAGCGGTTCTACATTAGCAAAACCACATGCTAAGCCAATCTCCAAGTGCTATTTCCACACAATGACTTTGGTCTTCTTTGAACAGAAGTGGTTTGCATTTAGGAAATTAACTAGGCACCAGTGTAACAGGATTTTATGAAGCTAAAGGTTTTCAATACATTGCAATACTCTCACACTGAAAATACTGGCCAATCTCTTATCTCTTTCCTCAAGAGCTTCATATTTAAAAAAGAAAAACAATTCCAAAGTTATTTTTCTTGGTATCTGGGTAATGTCAGTTCTTTTGCCCAAATGAAAAATTTCCTTTCTTCAATTAAAAATTATAAACATGTAATCATATATAAATATACATACTTTAGGGGTGAACAGATATTGATTTTAACTTACAAAGTCCTACTGCTTAACTTTTCCACAGTATAGAGAGCATATTTAAGCAAAGGAAAAAAAAAAAAGTGTTTATGCACATGCGCATGAATTTGACAGAAATGCATGTAGATAAATAGACAACATTCAGTTTGGTATTCTTTCATATGCTATGTGGTATATGCAGCTTAAGAAACTTTTTAGAAACAGGACTGATTTAAGGTCTAGAGAGATTTATAAGATTGATTTGTTTGGTTAAGAAATACTTTCCTTGAACCTATTGTTAAAAAATGATAATACCCAGTATTGTATTAAAATGTGAGAACTGTAACAGATGAAAAGCTGACAGGTGCAATTAGTAAGATATAAAGCAGGGGGAGTTGAATCAAAGTTGTCAATTAAACATTTTGCATTTAGACTTCTTAATTCTTTGACTTGGTAGAAAGGTTGAGAACAACATGAAAGCCACTTACACCTTAACAATGAAAGGAGGATTATTACTACTTAATTTTATTTCAGTGACAAACTGCTTTCTATAAAATTCAGCCCATAGGACACGAAAGTGATCTTGGCCACACCTTGGCATTACCGCACTTGGTTTGCAGCACTATTTCCCTATCCTTTTCTGAAACCTATTCAACATCGACTCAAACAATAGCAGCTCTGGCAGGAGTCCTCCTATACGCACAGTGAAAAAATATCTCTGAGCTCCGCAAGTGATAACACAATTATCACACTTCTTTTCACAGCAACGGAAGGGCAGGAGTTAGTGTGGCTTTCTGAACTTTATAATGGCTTTAGTATTTAGAACTATAGCACAATTAGCTGGAATTTCATTATCTTTGCTGGGATGGGTTTTATCCTGTCTTACAAACTACATGCCATATTGGAAGAATCTCAACCTGGACTTAAATGAAATGGAAAACTGGACCATGGGACTCTGGCAAACCTGTGTCACCCAAGAGGAAGTTGGGGTGCAATGCAAGGACTTCGATTCTTTCCTGGCTTTGCCTGTGGAACTCAGGGTCTCCAGGATTTTAATGTTTCTGTCAAATGGACTGGGATTTCCGGGCCTGCTGGTCTCTGGGTTTGGCCTGGACTGTCTGAGAATTGGAGAGAGACAGCAAGATCTCAAGAAGCGACTGTTAATTCTGGGAGGAATTCTGTTCTGGATATCAGGAATCACAACCCTCATTCCGGTCTCCTGGGTCGCTCACATGACAGTTCAGGAATTCTGGGATGAGACCATCCCCGAGATTGTCCCCAGGTGGGAGTTTGGGGAAGCTCTCTTTATTGGCTGGTTTGCTGGATTTTCTCTTCTACTAGGAGGGTGTCTGCTTAACTGTGCAGCCTGCTCAACCCAAGCTCCTCTAGCTTCAGGCCACTACGCAGTGGCAGAAATGCATGATCACCATCAACAACTAGAGATGAAAAACACAAACCTGAAGATCTAAGCCAGAAGGGAACAATGGTATCTACTCTTCAGGAGATGCTTGCCCAACCCTGGATTTGGTAGGATATCCCGCTACACAGTGACCCATTCACTACTCTTTGATTTTCTAAAATGCATTTTTTCCAGTGGCTATTAGCTTCTTAAACTATAATTTCTTTCTAAGACTGGCAAATCACTTTTCTGCTGTGAGACCAAAACCAATCAAGACCTAATAGTAATCATACTCATTATTGTGAATAAGTTTTCTCAATTTTAAAATAGGTTCAGTGATTGCACAGAACTGGTAAATTAAACATTACATTAGTACTCATGTATCTTTAAAGGTATTATTCATAAGGAGATGAATCATTTTGGCAATCGGAAATGTTACTGTTAATCATTAACTTCTTTCAGGTGTTTAAGATAACCTACTATAATGAAACTAAGGTCTCGTCGCATATTTATTTAAAATGCATTACATCTGATATAGTAAAATTGCTGGCTTTAGAAGCTTTATAGGCGAGAGATATGGGGCACAGCATCATTTCAATAAGAGACCTCAGTACCTGTATGGAGCCTTTTTCAAAAGTCAGCCATATCCATTTGTGCCTTCCTTAGTATGTCAGAAGCACAGAGGGGTAATCCTGTGTTTTGGAAGATTCGTGTAGAATCTGCCTCACAAATGCATTTCTTCTTCTGTGTCCTATGCTCTATATCTGATGGCCAACATTCCTGCCCGCCCCTAGCTCTGGGCAGCTGCAGGGGGCATGGCAGGTCAGGACTGGCGTATATGGCCAGAGAAGCCCCTGGGACTGCTGCCTTGTCTCGGAGCACACTGCCAGCTTAGCCGGTGAGACGACAGAGCACATAGTCTGGAACCTTTCGATTTATTTACACAATAAAAATATTCTGTCTTTTTTATCAGCAATACATGTAGTCCAAATAAGAACTATTCACAACAAACTACTGGCTTTGGGAATTCTTCATGAAAGATTTTATGTTTGCTCGGTACATGGTTCAAATAAACTCTTTTGTTTGTGCCAAACAGGGATATTAACTGAACAATAAACGACACCGAAATAAAGTAGTAGGCAATATGTATTTTTGTTTTTAAAAAAAAAAAAAAAAACACTGAATTTTTTTTTCCATCCACAAACATATGGAAAGTGCAGAAACCAAAGTTAATCTATGTGATATATTTGCGTACTTTTACAAACAAGACAAATTAAAACAGAAACATATTCAGAATTTAACCTGATTAAATATTTAGATCAGTCCTGAGCTTTTGATACTTAATACAATATAGATAAAGCAATAACAAAAAACAGATTTTAAACTTACTTGATTTGCATGCTAGAGATTCAGCTAACTTTGTTCATTTGGCTAGCAATTTCTTTTTGTACCTGTAACACTTAAGATTCTGATATACAAAATTGTAATAACATACTGATAATTCAAACTTGAGAACTAAATATTACATTCTTTTTACCCTGTGCAGAATAAATTCTACCTTTTAAAAATAGTATTTATAAGAGTAAAATTCATATCTGTCCATATGGTTTTGTGATCAAGTTATTAAAATGTTTTGTCACTGTGAATCATTTGGGTTAGTACAAATATGAGAGGATTATTAAAAGCTGCCTATAAATACATAATACTATTGCTGATTTTTAAAGTGTGGATAAAGGATTATATTAAAATAAGTTTGTCTCTCATGTTAGAAATGAGTAAATTTTGTAAAATAAAACTAAAAGCATCTTGGTCACAACTGTTAACTTCCAGCCTGAGACAGATTTTATTCTTTAATACTTTTCTGAAACTTTTTTGTATTACAAAAAGTTAACAGCTAATCTGATGAAGATTCATAAAGCTGTAAATATTCCAATGTAGCCTCTTCTATGTCAAACATTTAAAATGGCCAGAACCAAACTATATATTAAACAGAACATAAATAAGACCGTAAATAAATAAATGAAGAAAATAAAATCGTACGGTACAACTACACATAATTCTATAAATGTTTTCATGGTCAAACTAAGAAGCTGAAAACAGCTGACCTTCATTTAACTCTACATTAAATAAACATTTAATTCTTTCACATTTGACCTCAACAAGGATGAATGGTATTTTTCTAGTTTTCCTCAGTCATCTAATAGAATGAACTGGGCAGCCTTGAAGGGCTGGATTCAGTCAATTCATTAGGCTGGTTTTTGTTCAAAGTAGTGTCACGTCCAGTTATAGCTTCAAAAAAATTTGTATGTAAGTGGTGGGACATTTAGGAAAAAAATTAAGTTCTAGGCTCAGAAATTGCTTAATTTCAACTTTGATTCAGATAAAATGAACTTTCCAAAATAAATATAATTACTTTCAAGAAAACAAAAATTCTTGCTAGAGAGGATTCTAGTTTAGGAACAGAAGTTTTTTCTTTAAGGGGCCCATTCCTTTAAGATGATTTTGCATTTCTTAAAAAAAATAAAAATTGATTTAATTTGCTATATAAGATGGGTAACCAAAAATTGCTTCTTCCAGTATAACAGACTGAGTAATAAGTATGGTTTAACTTGCCTAAATACTATACATTTTAAAAGCCTTTATGCTGGCAGAGCTACACTAAGAATTTGTTTTTTCAAAGAAGTGCCTGGGTTGGGTAAGATAAAATTCTAAACTGGAGGATACTTTAGTCAGTTTATATCTCTAAACTTGGCCAGAACAAATCTTTTTTAACAAAAGATTTAGCCTATACTTCAAAAGAAAAATCCCCCAGGCACACTCTTCCTTTTGCCTCCCAACTATTTACCATGAATTATAGTAGAATCCCCTAAAAATGAGAGCTGCAAAGTAAATTCTAGTAAATGTTAGCAATCTGTTTGATAATTTTTTTTTTTAATTTTTGGCAACTTGCATGCAATCAAGATGCCTTTTCTTCTTTTTTATCAGCATAGAAATTTATTTTCATTCAAAATAATATGGCTATATTTAGAATGGACGCCTTTTCTTCCGTTCTTGGTTTCACCAAATGAGTGCTGATGTGTTTCCATCCACGTCAGCAGTACTGTCTGTCCTCAGAACACCAGGCCCACCACATTCTCCTACCAGCACCATCCTCTACCTAGGACAAAAAACACTGGTGCAAGTGGGAAACTCGCATTTGAACACTCACTCAAGTTTAGGTTGAGTTAGAAGAAGCAACTGCCCATTTGATGAGTTCACTTTAGTGTATTTTAAGGTAACCGGTATTCTCTCCCCTACCCTCAATGTCATGAATCAAAGATCCTTAAAGTAGCCAGGAGTATTGCTCCTTTGTATTCTTATATTCTTGGACTTTATTATCTTACATTTCTGTTTTCTTTAGACAAATATAAAAGAAGAAAAAGGAAATTGTTTTAAGTAAACAAAGCATTCCAACATAGGTGATGGAAATGAACACAGCACCTGTTTCAGGTGGACTTGAAACTCATCACTCAAGTTCATGCTTAACTTCAAATTCAGAGAGCTGCTGCCTAGTACAAAAATACCACATGGCACTGCTGCCACCTTCCCAGTCTATCACAAGCAAACAAACAGAAAGCAAAACCTGCCTCTGCTAAGCTACGTTGTTTCTCTACAGTCAGCTCAATAGGATATACACTGGGTACTGCCTCTATTCCATTTTTACAAAATAAAGCCCACTGGCAACACACACATACTGTGCAACATTTGTGTGCCAGATTATCGCATTTTTGTTATCTAATTTTTCTTCCTTTTTAAACATTACATTCAAGGTATTTTACAAATTAACATGTTGAAAATCTGATGTGAAATGAAAGTTTTTCAAGAGTTGACAGTTACGTTATAAAACAAAAAACGAAAAATAAAACAAAAGTTCAGTTTTTTGACCTCCTTAAGAAAGTTAATAGGTGAAAAAATAATTTCTTAAGAAATGCAGTCATACATCATCAGCCGGCAGGGATGGGATGCTTATCTTCGCTCTGGTGAAGTAGGCAATCTTCTCCCTAGCGTCAGAGGTGAGAAATAAACTGACTTAAATACAAAGTTGAAAATACCGTGACCTTTTATATAGTCCCCAAGAGCTCCAGTGGTGTCTCTATATGCCCAGATAAGAGTAGTTTTCCCTCAGGTAGAACTCCATTGAAAATCAAGATAGCCTTTGCCTTTTAAAGATACGATATAAAGGTGAACAGCAGCTCCAGCTCACGGTTAATCACCTACAGACCAAGCCAGTGGGTTCCCATCTGGGACTTCCAATATAAGACAGATTTTAAACCACTAAGGGTTTGGTCTAGGTAAAAGTGTTTCCAAACCAGATAGTAGAGGATTCAAAAAGGCCAAAATCCTACACAGAAATTTCTCAATGACCTCACAGAAAAGTACATGATACTAGGAAAATTATTTAAAATCAATATCATGTGAAGGCAGGGACAATTAGGACTCAAATGAAGGGAGGAGAAGGAACTTGACTATCTCAAAGGTAAAAGTGTCCAGCACCCCAAAGCAGGGATAAGCAGAGACCACCTGGAAGTTAGAAGCTGAGAAAGATGGGCAGAATGGTTTTCAGGTTAGGAGAGTGCTGGAAAAAAAAAAAAAAAAAGGTTTTAGGAATGCATAATTACCAAAGACAAGAGCAGTACCTCTCTTTTTCTATAAAATTTCACATCATACATAGTATCTCACTGACACATTGACTGAGAGCACTTTACATATGAGGGGCATGTTGGTAGCTGTAAAGAGGAATAAAGCACTGGCCCTCCCTAGAGAAATGAACAGTCTACATGAAAGAGAAAGTGCCAGGGTTAGAAACAAGGACAGAAGTGGCGATGTTCTGAAGACTAAGGAAAGGATAGAGGAAAAAACCGTGAAGATTGGAACAGGAGCTATTTTTTTGGTACAGTGCCCTTCAGATTTGCTCAATTCCATAAGAAATAAGTAATTTAAAAAGGCAAGGGAGTGTGGCTGTGATGCCAGCGTAGGCCTTAAGGCACGGCTGAAAACTGGGGTATTTTAAAATACCTGAAGTAGCTGCCAGCCCTATATTTGAGATATTTCATACAAAATTCTTGATTTCTAACTTCTCCTGAAAAATCAGAAGGCTGAAGAATACTGGGCTCCTGATTCCAGGTAAAACAAGGAGCTGGGGGTGGAGCCACACCTGTGTGTAGGGCAGAGTGCCCCAGGCCTCACCATGCCCTAATCTCTCACCAGCCCAGCCAGGTGTCAGTGACATGCGCACCCCTCACGGGCACCACCATGCTTCCAGGACAGTCTGTCTTATCTAGGTCTATCTCAGTCATTCTTATCACCTGCCTGATGACAAAAATGAGTCTGTATCTTAAGGGAAGCCGGGAATGTTCATACATTCTGTTTTGGGTTTTAGCAACAACCGGAAATGGTATGATTTTCCATGCTAGACAATGCTGCTTACTCTTAAAGTGACCACAGCACCAAAGGCATGAGAAGATTCCTTTCATCACAATGCAGTTCTAAAAACACAAGTAGTAATAAGCCCTAAGTTACAAAAATGGTGCTTTAGCAAAATGGAGGCTGGAAAAACCTAACTCTTTATTATAAAACGTCACATAAAACATAAAGAGTCATAAACCCAGTATGCCTCAGTTTCTCTTCCCTCCACTTCTGGACTTGGGCTGTTGTAGTACAACCTTTACCCCCAGCTCCTTCCTTTGGCCTCACCCTTCCACCTGGCACCAAACCCCACCCCTTCACGACAATCCCTGCCCCACCAGGCAGCCCAGCTTCCCCACACTTCAAAACACCCTCTCTCCTCTGGGTGTCTCCCACGTAAGCCTAAAAGCTTTCTAAAGACTCCTCTATACAAAACCCAAACCAAAAATGAAACAAACAACAAACCCTTTTCCATGACCCTCCTCTCACTTGACTGAAACTGTCCCTGGTATGGTCACCAGTAGCCTCCAGATCAACTCATCCGGGCAATGTTTCCAATTCTCTTCTTTTCTGTTATGAACGTTCCCCTCTCCCCACCCTCCAGCTCCAGGACCACTCTCTCTTGGTTCCCCTTTCACCCCTCTGACCATTCCTTCTTACAGCTTTTTTGCTGCAAGCCCTCCGATGGTCGGTGTCCACCAGGCCCCTTTCCTAGTCGCCTTTTCACATTTTCTGGGATGTCTGGCCCATTGGTGGTTTTAAATTGATGGAACCCCCACATCGAGGATGAAGACTTCCAGTTTTTATCTCCCATCTTGACTCTTAACCCAGGCTTTAGATTTTTATTTCCACTTAGCTACTGGTCATAGTTCCTTGGGCTGTCCTACTGGCATTGCTAACCTGATATGTGCAAAAGCAGAACTCGATACCCCCACCATGTGCCTGCTCCTCTCCCAGTGCACCCAGTCTCAAGTGCCCACAGCACAATGCAGCTCCCTCCACTCACTTCCCAAGACCTAAATGGCCTCCCTTTACCAATTTCTCCCTGGCCCACTCTCCACAATGCTTCTAGGATCTGCCCCACACAAAATCTATCCCCACTATTGACCTGTGTGCTTGGAGACCCCTGCTGGCTCCCTCACCATCTAAAACCACAACTGAAAACCTTCAGCACAGCATGCAAGGCCTTATGGAGTCTGAGCCCAGCTCTACCCAACAGGCTCACCCGCTGGCAGCTCTACTATGTACACAGAACTTGGCACTGACCTCTGAGGTTCCATGCCTCTGTCCATGCTATTCATCCTGCCTCGATGCCCTACCCAAACCTACCATCCCTAGTGCCTGAAGAACTCATACCTACCCTTCCATGATGGATTCAAACACTGCCTCTCTTACAATCTTCTCCTGCTAGCGTCTACAGCCCCAACACCTGCCCCACAAAGACTTAGATTCCTCCTGCCTGCTCTCAGAGTCCTTCCTTATACCTGTAGCTAGCTCTTTCCACATGGCATTTCAATGACCTGGTTATCTGCCTGTCTCCCACAGACCACAGTCCCTCTAGAAGAGCCGGGAGCACATGTTCTTTGCCTCTATATCACCAAAGAATGTCTGTAAAATGAGTGAACAGCAAAACCCTAAAGATATATGACTTTTCTGCACCTTTCTGTATCTTGTATCCAGGTTTCTCAATAAGATGTGCTAACTGCTTCTAAGAGCTGGGGACGCCATAGGTGCTTGGGGAGGCAGACTTTAATCAAGGCTTTAACTCTGCCAGCCGAGTTTGTAACCTCAGGAAGGAGCAAATGGAAAATAACATATTCAAGCTGGGGAACAGAGGATTTTTGTCTCATGTCCTAATATAAACTTTTACTGCACTCTGAAGCTAATGCCAACATCATCAGGCTACGTGACACAACCCAAAAGCTGTGCCGGGGTGGGACCATTTACCTGAAGGACTGTACCTGCCGAGGAACCTTCCAGCTCTGCTCCCGAAGGCGGCACACGTCCTTGGAGACCTGCCTCATCAGCTTCTCTGCATTCAAACCCTGCTTCTGCTCTTCTTTGGACTGTTCAGCCTAGCAAAGAAAATGAAAACATAGGAAACCCACTAAATATTGATTAGAAGACATGCTAGAAGGCTTGAAAGACCGTCGACTAAAGTCAGGAGGGCAAACCAGGCAGCAAACTAGGTGGTGTCTTTTTTTCCCCATCAGGGACAACACCACATGCCCGGCTCATGCTGAGGGGAGCAGGCATTGATTCAGGGGCAAGTTTATTTTAATCACATTTAAAAAATCTTATTACATAGGCAAAACGTGATTATTTTATTACATCTGGAAAACCTAAAAACAAAACAGAAATAAAAAACTACTAATAGCCCTGTTTCCAAGAAATATCTACTGTTAACATTTTGGTGAATACACTTTTAACCTCTTATCCATCTTTTCAACCTTTTTCACTATCTTAGCCATTTAACAAGCTGTTTATTGAAGTAGAATTTATCTACCCAAAGAGCGCACATATAAGTGTATGGCTCAAAGAACTTCTGCAAATTGAACACAGCCATATAACCAGTACCAGATGAAGGAACAGAACACGGCCAGTTTCCAGAAGCCTCCCTGAGTGCCCTGCTGGTTACCAGCATTCTAACACAGGTTACTTTTGCCTATTTTATCCTTTGTATAAATGGCATAGTACAGTAGGTACTCTCTAGGTTCTTATTTCTTTTGCTCAATGTTATGCTTATGAGAATCATACGCACTATTAAATGTAGTTGTAACTCATTTTCCTTACTGCTATATAATATTCCACTCTGTGAATTTATCACAATTTAGTATCTGTGTTTTTGTTGATAACATTTGTATTTTGCATGAATACATTTCAAAAATAAAAATGAACTAATACTATATTAAATGTTGCTTTTTCACGTCATTCACTCACTCACTCATTTATTCACTCATTCACATAAGCAACAAATATTCGTTAATTGCCTTCTAAGGAAAAGTGGTATGTTAGCGGTGAAGAGCGAGAGATCTGGCACCATATCACTTGCATTCAAATTCCATTTCAGCTTCTTACTAGCTATGTGAATTTGGGCAAGCTGCCGGACTTCCCTGTGCCTTAGTTTCTTCATTTGTAAATTGGGAATGAGTACTTACTTCAAAGGGTTCTTGTGAAGTTTAAATGAATTAATATAAGTAAAGTGCTTAGAGCAATACCCAACAAATTATTAAATATATGCCAGGCACTGTGTTAGGAGGTAAGGATATAGTTGTGAACAAGACAAGTGAAGTCTGGGGGGGGAAAGAAAAACAACAGCAAAGACTAGAAATTGCTTTATAATTATCAAAAATATAGCAATATATTGTAAGTATTTAAAAGATTAACAAATCTTCCTCACCATAACATCTTTTAAAAATAGACTTTATTTTTTAGAGCAGTTTTAGGTTCACAGCAAAATTGAGCAGAGAGGGTTCTCGTACACTCTCTGCCCCACCACCAACCTCTCCCATTGTCAACATCATCCACAGAATGGTGCATTTGTTACAATCAATGAACCTATATTGGCACACCATTATCAATCAAAGTCCATAGTTTAGATTAGGGTTCATTCTTGGTGTTGTGCATTCTATGGGTTTGGACAAATGTATAATGACATGTATCGACCATTACAGTATCATACAGAGGAGTTTCACTGCGTTAAAAATCCTCTGTGCTCCACCTATTCATCCCTCCCTTCCCCCAACCCCTGGCAACCACAGATCTTTTCACTGTCTCCAAAGTTATACTTTTCCAGAATATCATAAAGCAGAATCACATGGAACACAGCTTTTTCAGATTGGCTTCTTTCACTTAAAAATATGCATTTAAGTTTCTTCCATGTCTCTTAATGGCTTCATAGCTCATTCCCTTTTAGCAATGAGGAATATTCCATTGTTTGGATGTACCAGTTTATTTATTCATTCACCTACTGAAGGATATCTTGATTGCTTCCAAGTTTGGGCAATTATAAATAATGCTGCTGTAAACATCCATGTACAGGTTTTTATGTGGATGTAAGTTTTCATCTCCTTTGGGAAAATACCAAGGAACACAACTGCTAAATCATATGTGAGAGTATGTTTACTTTTGTAAGAAATTGCCATGCTGTCTTCCAAAGTGGCTGTACCATTTTACATTCCCACGAGCAATGAATATTCCTGTTGCTATACATCCTTGTCAACATTTGGTGTTGTCAGTGTTCTGGATTTTGGCCATTCTACTAGGTATGTAGTGGTATCTCTCTGTTGGTTTAATCAGCAATTCCTTAATGACACGTGATGTTGAGCATCTTTTTGTATGCTTATTTACCTTCTGTCTGTCTTCTTTGGTAAGGTGTCTGTTCAGGTCTTTTGACAGTTTTTAAATTGTCTGTTCATTTTGTATTGTCGAGTTTTAACAACTCTTTCTAATTTTAGATAACAGTCCTTTATCAGATATGTCTTTTGCAAGATATGTCTTTCTCCCAGTCTGTGGCTTGTCTTTTCTTTCTCTTGACAGTGTCTTTCACAGAGCAGAAGTTTTTAATTTTAATGAAGTCTAACTTATCAGTTATTTCTTTCATGGATTGTACCTTAGGTGTTGTGAAGTCTGCTCCATCTACAATTAATATAGCTATACCCACTTTCCTTTGATTAGTGTTAGTATGGTATATCTTTCTCTATCCATTTACTTTTAGTCTGCATGTGTTTTATATTTCAAGTGGGTTTCTTGTAGACAAAATATAGTTGGTTCTTGTTTTTTGATCAACTCTGATGGTCTCCATCTTTTAATTAGTATATTCAGACCACTGATGTTTAAAGTGATTATTAACATAGTTGGATTAATATCTACTATAGTTGGATTAATATCTACTGTATTTGTTACTGTTTTCTATTCATTGTCCTTGTTCTTTGTTTCTACTTTTGTTTTCTACCCTTTTACCACTTTTTGTGGTTTTAATTGAGCATTTTATATAATTCTATTTTCTCTTCTTAGCATGTCAATTATATTTCTCTTTTTACTTTTTCTAGTGGCTGCCCTAGAACTTGTACTATATATTTATAACTAGTCCAAATCTACTTTCAAATAACATTATACCACTTCACAGGCAGTGCAAGTATCTTATGATAGCAAAACATTCTTAATTCCTTCTTCCTGTCCCTTGTATCATTGCTGTCATTCATTTCGCTTATACATAAGCATGCATACACACACACACACACAAGTGTATATAATGGAATATATTGTTGCTATTATTTTGAACAAATTATATGTTAGATCAATTAAGAATAAACAAAGTTCTTATTTTACCTTCATTTATTCCTTCTTTAATACTCTTTCTTTGTTTATGTAGATCCAAGCTTCTGACCTGTATCATTTTCCTTCTCTCTGAAGAATTTAAAAACATTTCTTGCTGGGCAGGTCTACTGGCAACAATTTCCTTAATTTTCGTTTGTTTGAGAAAGTCTTTATTTTTCCTTCACTTTTGAAGGATAATTATGTAGGGTACAGAATTCTAGGTTGATGGATTATTTTTCTCTTAACAATTTATTTCACTCTCTTCTTGCTTGTGTGGTTTCTGATGAAAAGGCAGATATAATTCTTATATTTGCCTTTCTATAAGAAAGTTATTTTTTTCCCCTCTGGCTTCTCTCAAGACTTTTCCCATTATTTTTTATTTTCTGCAGTTTGAATATGATATGCCCATGTTTAGGGGTGTTTCTGTTTTATTGTTTTTGGCATTTATCCTGCTTGGTGTTTTCTGAGCTTCCTGGATCTGTGGTTTGGTGTCTAACATTAATTTGGGGGAAATTCTTAGACATTACTACATCAATTATCTCTTCTGTTCCCTTCTTGCTTTCTTCTCCTGGTACTCCCATTACACATATTTTACATCTTTTGTAGTTGTCCCACAGTTCTTGTATACTCTGTTCCATTTTTATCCCCCTAGTTTCTTTTGTCTTTGCTTTACAGTTCTGGAAGTTTCTACTGACACATGCTCAAGTTCAGATATTCTTTCCTCAGTTATAGCCAGTCTACTAATGAGCCCATCAAAGGCATTCTTCATATCTGTTAGAGTATTTTGATCTCTCACATTTCTTTTTGATTCTTTCTTAGAATTTCCATCTTTCTGCATATACTGTCCCTCTGTTCTTGCATGCTGTATATTCTATCCATTAGAGCCCTTAGCATATTAATTATAGTTGTTTTAAATTCCTGGTCTGATAATTCCAACATTCCTGACACACTTGATTCTAGTTCTGATGCTTTTTCTGTCTCTTCAAACTGTGTTTTTTGCCTTCTAGTATGCCTTATAATTTTTTGTTGAAATCTAGGCATGATGTATGGGGTGAAAGGAACTCTGGTAAACAAGCCTTTAATGGTGTGGTGGTATGGTGTGGGGCAGGGGAAGTATTCTATAGTCCTATGATTAGTTCTCAGTCTTTTAGTGGGCCTGTGCCCCTGGACTGCTAATTTCACAAGTGCTTCTCAGTGTCCCCCCGCCCCTTAGGTGGGACACAATGTCTAGAGCAGGTAGAGCCCGGTATTTCCCTTCTCCCACATGGAAGACTAGAAGGGGCTAGAGTTAGGTATTTCCCTTCTCCCAAGTTGGTTAGGCTCTGATAAAACTCCAGAAGGTTAGGCTCTGGTAAAATAGTTTCTCCTAAGGGCAGGCCTTGTTAAGAAAAACAGAATGCTCTGCTTTTTTTCAAAATGGTTACTCTTCCCCTCCCTCTGACAGAATCAGGAGAGGACTCTTCTCCAATATTTACCATGAGGACCTGGTAGAGCTCCTTGGGGCAAAACTCACAAAAGTGTGGGGGCCCTCCTATGAGTGGGGACCCCTAGAGTTTTTAACTTTCAGACTTGGCTACACTGAACCTCCAGCAATGTGTCAATTATAGCTTTGGTTTTCTTACCCTGGTATTGGTTCCTGAGAGGTTTCTGCTCAAAGGTTTTCACTCCAGTAAGTTGTGATCTTCTGTTCTGTCTCCCTGGTTTTGGGGGCAGCAATCGGCTCTGTTACCTCACCTCTCTAACTGATCTAAAAAGA